TATATATATATATATATATAGCATAAATGAAAACAATTTGTTTTGCATATTGCAAACATTAGTCAGCTAACATAGGGATACTGTTTTTCACAGTGTCTTCTAACCAGAGGAATGATTTTTTTTCACTTAAAAAAAACCCTCTCAACTTTTTACAGCGTTCCCTTTTCCAAAAACAGAGAAAAAACCCTACACAGAACCTCTTATAATTCCTTTTCTTTGATAAAACTTCTTCAGTGTGCATAAAACTGCTTGTCTAGAAGGAAGAAAATGTTGTATTTAAATTCATTTCTTAAAAATCAAGATGTGCTGGGGTGTGGGAAAGATTGATGAATCTCCGAGACAAGCATTTTATATGTGAGGAAATGTGGCAAAATCAGCAAGAAAGTTTCAGGTGCTCTGAGGAAGCTTAATTCACAGAAGACACTTTAAAAAGTAGATCAGTGACATTTAACGAAAATAATTTAATTCTTGCTATCACTTAAGTTGCATGAAGTTACAGTGAAACATTATTTACAGATGTATTGCTATACTTAAACTTGCAATTCTGCATCAAGAAAGTGCCTCGATTGTCATTTTTAGCTAGGATAAGTACCCTGCACTATTGTTGCTGAGGCTTGTTTTTAAATCATTTTTTATTTAGAGCTACATCCAGAAAAACTAACAAAAATAACCAAATATTACTACGTGTGCTCCATGTTCTTTTTAAATCTGTGCAGTCTTATGCCAAACCCAAGAATGCCTCCTCAAAATGCCAGAAATTGTTTTTATACGCTTTCTCCTGTTCTCCTTTATTCTCAAAATCTTCATCCCTGCCTTCATTTCTTCCACATCAAGCTCAGTTATGTCACTTGCTGTAGCTTCATCTTGGCAAAACGAAAGACATGTATAGTGGTAGGACTGTAATGAGAAAGTCTGCCTAATGGAGAGATTTGGTAGCCCCAGATAAGGAGTTCCAGGGCAAATCCCAGATAACTTCACTGGATTCCAACATTTGCTTAAGGAGACTGAAAGGAGAAACTTAGCAGACATAAGGCAGGGCACCTACCTGCTCTAAGTCCTCAGAGCATATTTAGTACGTCCAGACCCGACATCTGATCATCTAGACAGATTTCCATCAGCAATGCTCAACACTAAAAGAGTGTAAGCATCTAAATGAATTTTGGATGATCTAAGTTATGAATTTAAGAGTCTACAAGAAGAGTTAAGTAATTCCTATATGTATCATTCTTTAGGAGATTTAGACATAATACCTTTGTGCTTACTCATCTAACACACTGATCCGAATGAAACATCTTGAGATCACACAGTTGTCAAAGACTAGGATAGGCTGATACTCCAACATTGCCAAATAATTACTGGTAGATCGTAAGACCAAACCATTACATTAAGATTGCTTTAACCAACCTTAAACAAGTCCCGATTTGATAGCAGATCTATATAGGGAAGGACTCAGGAGTCCAGCACAACCGATAATTTCAAATTAGTTGAAAGATACAAAGCCAAACACGTTTGACAGCACTCCAAATCAATATCCCATTTTCAGCTGTTAATTTTGTAGCAATTGTGTCTTATTTTCCTCCACATGTGTTCTATTGAAAATGCCAGCCACACTGAGCAGTCAAAGTGTGGAAGACTCTTGACCTATTAACATGCAGATTTTATGAAAACAGGCCCAGTTCTGCTGCCTTAGGATTTATTCTGTAATGAAGTTCTCTTAAGATGACTTATTTTCCTACTATGGCAGATTGGAAGTAAGAATTAAGAACAGCATGAATTCATTTTACTGCAAACCACACCTTCATACACAGAACTTCAGAGATAACAGGATCACAAAAGTGTGCATCTTTCAAATTTAGCAGATGTATGCTGTAGTCTATTTAGAATAATTTCACTGAAGTGAGAAGCTGATTACTGAGGAAACAAGCCACAGATGCATATCATATAATAAGCAACAGTTCACCTAAGTGCCATGTCTCAGGGCACAAGCTGAATTTCATTTTAAACTCATAGGTCTCCCGTCCACATATACGGAACTTCAGTAGGGACTATTTACATTACCTAGCTTGCCTAAAAACTATAGCTAAAGGGATCTCAGATGCAGGCTTACCAGGGAGGAAGGGAGGTGCCATCGTTTTCCCACCCAGGTTGCTCCACACAGCACAAGAGAGTAGAAGCTGTGATGTGGATGCACATTACTATTGATCAGTCAAGTCCTATAACAATCTGAGCACACTTTAAAGACATAGATACAAGTATAGTTAGCATTATAATGTAAAAAAAGCTACATAACAAATTTTTGCTGGTTTGATTCCATAATGAACAGATTTTCTTAAATCGTAGTACCAACTTCTTTACCAGCATATACCAATTGCATCATTTTAAAATTTAAGCTTAGTATTAAAAAAAATGGATACTAGTAGCAAGTAACATTTGATATTTTATAACACTCAAGAGGACCCAATTAGAAATAACTTTTCTCATTTTTCTTTAAATACAGTTAGCAGTTTCTTAACACGCTATGTGAGAAACTGTGAGGACTGATTAGCATTTGAAGTCTGACACATGCCAACCGTTTATAGTAAAAGGAAATCAATCTGACAAAATGAAACATGACAAATGAAGAGAAGTGAGGCCGAGGAGGAAAAGGTCAGTGACTGTGAAACTGATAATGTTAATAAACTAGTCGGTGGTAACCACCCTTATCATTTCTATTGATTATTCTTCAGACTGTCACAATGATGTCAAACCACAGAAAAGAGCGTTTATACCAACATTTCATTGATTAAAATTCAGTGGGAGAAAATTATCATCTGAAATAATTTAATCAACTTTGACAACTTGTAAAAAAAATAAAATAAAATAAAATAAACAGTTCTCTCT